CCCCCTCACCTCTGATGTCTCCCCTTAGTAACTTTCCATCCACCGATCCCCACCTGCTCCTCGACTACAAATCCCCACTTGTCCCCGTCGTGTTCAGAATTGAGCCCAGTTCTATGCTGCGGTGTCTTTTCCCCTTTGGTGATTGCAACTGAATAAAATCTGTCTTTACTGCTTTAACTACTGTCCTGGTTTTTCTTTGACTGTGTCTGCTGGTGGCAGATGCCATGCTAGGGGTGCAGAAGTGAAGAAAGCAAAACCCCTGCCTTTAAAAAGCACAGCTTGGAGTTGGGAGCCCTTTGCTATAATGATGACATAGAGCAGAATTTTCCAGAAACTCCCCAGCCGAGATTTCACTGCACATGGCCCGCTGTGTGCAAAAGGGATCAGCAAACTTCTGAAGGACCAGATAATAAATATTTTAGGCTTTGAGGGTCACATCAGTCCATGTTGTACATTTCTTTTCATTTTTGCTTTGTGCATGTGTGTGTGTCTTGTTTTTTTTTTTTACAATCTTTTAAAAATGTAAAAGCCCTTCTTAGCTCACAGACTGTACAAAAACCAGCTGATTGCTGGGTGTGATCTTTTTTTTTTGTTTGTTTTTGCGGTACGCGGGCCCCTCACTGTTGTGGCCTCTCCCGTTGCGGAGCACAGGCTCCGGACGCGCAGGCTCAGCGGCCATGGCTCACGGGCCCAGCCGCTCCGCGGCATGTGGGATTCTCCCGGACCGGGGCACGAACCCGTGTCCCCTGCATCGGCAGGCAGACTCTCAACCACTGCGCCACCAGGGAGGCCCCTGGGTGTGATCTTTTAAGAAACTGAATTGACATCTTCAACCCTGATTTAATCATCATGAACATGCGTACACTTCTAAAATCACAGATTTTAGAAATTCAAGCCCCATTCACTTCTTTATAATAAATGTCAAATCTTCTGAGATTGTACAAAGACTGGCAGAGGCTGTGGACAAGGCTGACCAGGACAAGTTACTGAACCTCCCAGAGCCTCAGTTCCTGGGTCTATAGAGCAGAGACCATTACACCTGGGAGGTTTAGTACCTAGCAAGGTGGGAGGGCTAAATTCCATCAGGAAGGGTAAGTGTCTGTACCCACCAGTAGAGACCCTGTGCTCAGTGAGCAGTCATTCCTGGGACTCAAGAGGCCAGAAATCGTTAAGAATATTGAGGAGAAAAATATTCACACAATCCACTTGCAGTTCCAGGAAAAGGAAAGGGAAGGAAGCAAGAACACGGGGCTCCACTATCATAGCAATCACTCTTCTGCTCCCTGAGCCCTCATGCCGGGGGAGAGACAAGCACTCTAGGTGTTGTCAGGCATTTACCCCCAGTTGTCATGTTTGTCACGTGCTCCTCAGTAGGCTCCAGAAATCACATTTTCAGCTTCTTTGTTTTCTCTTACAGAGACATCAAGCCAGACAACATACTGCTGGATGAACACGGTAAGCCTGTTATGAACGCTTTCTAGAGACTATTTCAGTGGGAACTTTGCGACTCTGGGAATTTGGTCCTGGTCCTGGTGAGCTGGATTTTAGGGTTGACTAGAAAGCCTTCTTTTGTTTCAATCCTGGTGAATGTTCAATCCTGGTGAATGAACACCTGTGTAAATTTCTGGTCTGTGTCCTGCTGCGGTGAGTTAAGTCCAATGTATTTGATGGTTTCATATCTAAAGACATCACGGTTCACGTCCTGGTGTGAGGGCAACAGGGCAGAAATGGGAACGGGATACAAGGTTGGAAAGCTCTGAGCTTCCCACCCCTGCTCTCCGACCTGTGAACCCGGGGCTTCAGAAATGTCACTCACCTCTCTAAGCCTCAATGTCATCTTCAGTAAAATGGGGAAAATGATACCCACCTTCCAGATTGTCATGGGGATCAAATGCGATAGGGTGTGCTTGGCAAGCTAGAAATCAGTAATCAGTAATCCTCTAAGCCTTCCCTCATCCAGGCTTCTCAAGCTTTTATGTGTGTACGGAGTGTGGGCATCTTCTTAAACTGATTCAGTGGAGTGAGGTGGGCCTGGGATTCTGCATTTATAACAGCTCCCAGTTGAGGCTGACACTGCAGGTCCATGGAGAAGGCTCCATGTCAGCGGCTCTCCAACTCTGGTCTTATCGGAATCCCCTGGGGGACTTGGTAAGAATCAGAGGCCAGACCCTGTCTTGTTTAGAGAACCTGGGCCTCTGTGTTCTGAGTCAGTCCCAGGCATGTGGTGCCCAGTCAAGTCAGGACAAGTCCAGGGCACAGCCCAGCAATGACTGCAGTCCATGCCAAAGGCAGCTTTGCAGCCAACCATCACGGCAGTCTTGGAGACTAAATTCCCCGATGTGCTTTAGGAACTCATCTCCCAAGGGCTTTCGGGGCTGTGGGCTGGAGTGAGCAGGGATTTTTCTGCTGTGCTGCTGAATCTTTCGGGGATGAGTCTGCTGCCTCATCTACACGGCTCCTCTGACCTACCTCCCCCACTCCCTCCCTCAGGCTGAGGCTGTGGCTCCAGCCCGAAGGCCCTCTAGGACTTGTGTCACCAGTGTGTCTCGGGGAATCCTGCCTCGTTGTATAAACCCCTTGGTACTGGGAGACAGAGTGGGAGTGGTGGATGGGACCATCTGGGCTCCAGTCTCCTGCCAGAGGCTGAAACCAGCCCAAGTGCTTTGGGGCAGAGAGGTGAAATCCCTGTGCTCCTGAATGGAAGGTCAAGGATGACCTTAGGTTGCCAGGGGGAAACTGAGCAGAGCTGAGGCTGCAAATCAAGGTCCCCAGTTCGTATCTAAAAAGCAGGAACCCCAGACCTGGGTCTCAGCTGGTCCCCCAACTAGCTGTGTGTCTTCAGGCAAGTTGCAAAACAAGTAATACCGCCTTGCAGGGTGGCAAAGGTCTAAGACAAGATGGGGAGGATGAGCCACTGTCCCAGCACCAGGACATAAAGGTGCTCGGAAGGGCTTGTATTAGCTTATAGCTCTCAGCCTCTCCTGTCCCTTGTCTGCTCAGATCACAGAAGCAGGTGAGGCAGAGGGAGAGGAGGCACAGGCTGGGTGATGCAGGACCCCTGGCAGGGCTGTCCTGGAAACCAGGGGTGTGGAGGGCAGGGTTCTGCCTGGGATCCTCACGGCCCCAGCCAAGAGACTAGAGAGAGACTTTTGGACAAAGACCTTTCAGGCCCTGGGCAGCTTTCCAGAGGCAAACAAGGCAGGAACGCCAAGCAGTAGGAATAATTCAGCTGTTTCCTCCAGGATGAAATGAGACTCGGCAAGCCTGTGGGGTAACCAGGGCCTGCCTGACGCCATAGTTCGTGCCCGATGCTACAGCCTCGGGTCAGAGCTCACACAGCCTTCTCTGGGTTCCCTCGTTCCTGGGCTCCTGGATCTCCGTCCATCCCTTCCTACCTCCCCTTCTGTGCTCGTCCTCACCTCTCCCCCTCAGCCCTTTCCCACTTTCCTCCCAGATCTCCCCATCCTTCCCCAACTCCCACATGCCTTACACAGTGTCCTGACCCTGCCCTTTGGCTTTGCAGCATCCCACACACTCCCCAAGGATTCGAACTACTCCTCTCTCTTCTCTAAGCTCCTTTTTCATCAAGCTTGCTGTCGAGACAGAGCGCTGAACACTATTCCATACTAAGATGTGAATGGCTGATACCCTCCCCTCCATCAGCTTTAGCATGCGGTGAGTGCCTTTTTAGGCAGTGCAGAAGAAAAATCAGGAGCAGAGAATTCTCAAGAAACACAAGTCTTCTCCCCTAGGAGAGAAAGACAAGAGAGGACACCGTGGCTATGTTTTTCCTTCCCCTCATTTGTGACAGGAGATAGATGCTCATCAGCTTTTCTTTCTTTTTTCCTTACTTAGTCATTGTTGCCTTTTTTCCCCCTCCAGCTTTACTGAGGTGTGATTGGCAAATAAAAACTGTATATATTTAGGTTGTACAATGTGATTTTTTAAAGGTGTACAACATGATGATTTAATACACATATGCACTGTGAAATTAACAACACAAGGTAATTAACGTATCCAGCACCTCTTATAGTTACCTTCTTATTGTGTGAGTGGTGAGAACATTTAAGATCTACCCTCTTAGCAAATTTCAACCACACAATACAGTATTATTAACTACTGTCACCATGCTGTACATTAGATCTCCTTACCCTGTTGTTAAATGCATTAAAAAAAAAACAGCTTACAAAACAGATAACTATGTGTTTCTATTTAAAGAGTTTGCTGATTGATCTCATTAAGTGTTTTCTCAGAGAACAAGTTGGTTGCTGTGTTTACAGTGAGTTATAAGCATAATTAAATAAATGCATTCATGTTTTATTTAAAATGTTCAAGATCTGCTGGTTACACAAAATCCAAGGCTCTCACAGAAGTGTCTCTGCTCCCCCGGTGTCTGCTCTGCTTTCTGATCTTTCAGGCTGGTTTTATCTCCTAGAATGGGCGCTTCTCCACTCTGAGATCTGGGGTCTCTTGGCTATAGCAGCAAAAGCAGAGGGAGACCATACCTGGAGGTAAAATGAAGTTGAAGGAGGTTGTAGCATCATAGCACAGCGTGAGAGGAAGAGTTGAGAGTGCTTTAGGGCTGAGGGCAAAGTGCTCTAGGAAATGGGGAATTTAAAACTGTAGAGGGAAGGGGAAGGGATTGCATTCATTTTCTGTTGGTACAATAATGCTGGGTGATGAATAACCACATGAATTTAATGGCATAAACAAGAAGCATCCAGTTAGCTCACAGGCCTGTGGGGTTAAGCCCTTGTGGGCAGGGCTTGCTCCTAAGACTGAGGTCCTGCAGGGTCAGCCAGGCAGCTACGGTGACGTTGGCTGTGCTCACTCCCATGTCTGGGGGTCGTCTGGCTGCCAGCTGGTACACCATGACCTTGGCTCATTGACTGGGCAACTCGGCCCAGCTCCTCATGGCTCACCTTCTGGAAGGCCAGCCCTGTGTGACCTCGCGTGGCCATAGCAGAAACAGAGGCAGGGAAAGCCCAGTCACTTAAGCCACCACCTGCATCACATTTGCTGCCATCCCAGTGGGCAAAGCAACTCACAAGACCCAACCGGGTCGGGGTTGGGCACTGCCAAATGACATGGCGAAAGGAAGGATACAGAGGAGGAGGAACTGCGGAGATTAATGCAATCATCCAGCAGATGGGCAGGTGGGGGGCTGGTATTTAACACATGGGAGCTTGACTTTCCCCCAAATGAGCAAAGAGCCGGGAGCCAGAGACAGAAGGGCAGTGCCTGCGTTTTGCCCTGAGTGTCTACTGAGGATCCTTGGTCAAAATGTACTGAACTTATACTGTCAGCTTTCTTATCTGGGGTTTCACATTCTCGAATTGAACCAACCTCAGATGGCAAACGTTCAGGAAAAAAACTCCGGAAAGTTCCAAAAAGCAAAACTTGAATTTGCTGCTAGCTGGCAACTGTTTACATAACATACGCATTGTACTTACAACTATTTACATAGCATTTACATTGTACTAGGTATATATAAGTAAAAAAAAAAAAAAAAAAAGTATATGGAAGGGTGTGCCCAGGTTATATGTAAATTCTACACCATTTTATACATGGGACTTGAGCATCTAAAGATTTGGGTATCAGTGGGGGTCCTGGAACCAATCCCCTGCAGATACTGAGGGACAACTGTAGGTCTGTCCTCTTCTGTATGCAAGAAAGTAATTCCTTCACTTTTGCAGACCTGCCATAAGCCAGGTGTTGTGACAGGCGACCCAAGGACACAGACCCCCTGTGGCCGAGGACATCGTGGTCTAGGGTGGCGCTTCTCAGCCACGGCTGCATGTCACCCAGGAACTGTAAAAGGTGCCAGTGCCAAGGTCCCACCCGCATAGGCACTCACTTGACTCATCTCTCAGGAGAAAGTGCTGGGTGGGGGGGGTGGGGGGTGAAGTTGGGGTTAAAGCTACCAGGTTGTTCTAAGGTGTAGCCAGGGCTGAGGGAGAGACAGAAAAGTAAACAGGTGATTCCGACCCAGCAGGGTCAGTGCTGGGACGGGCAGGGGTGAGGCTGTGCCCGAGCAGAAGGGCAGTGAAGCTGGGGGATGGGGAGGGGGAGGGAGGGCTTTCTGGATCCTCCCTCCAGAGTGTGGGCACCAGAGCATCCGGGAGCAGAGCATTCCAGAGGGCAAGGGAGAAAGCTCCACTAGCCAGAGGACAGCAGGCTGTGAGGTGTAGAACTCATTCTTTTCTCAGGGACCTCGGGATGGGCGCTTGGGGATGAGAAACCTCACCTGGACCTTTAGTAACAGGTGACACAGCAGCCACGCCAGCAGAATGAATCTGTTTTCTCATTGTATTCACCATGACTTCTATTTCCTGTAATCTGATGCCACTATCCACTTGCCCTAAACACCCCAGTGCCAGGATCCAGACAGCCAGGGACAGCTCCTGTGCCCCAGAACCCCTGAAATTATTCAGACTAGCCAGTCCTAAGCCTGC